CATTCCTGGAAATCAGGGTCCCATTTACCTGTACACATGAAAGTGCAGGAGCTCAGCCTCTCCCCAGCCCTGCACATAATAGGCCCTCAGTAAACACTGGCTGAATGTTAAGTGAAAGAGGACAACTCCTGACATAGTGGAGCTGTGTAGGGAGGGAGATGGGTCTATTCAGAGTGAAATATCTAAGAGGCCTTGAAGACAGTGAGGGTGGGGGAGAGGCTCTCACCAGTGCCAACACCCAGCCTGACCCCGCCCAGGAAGTCATTGCTGGCCAGGGGCTCCCGGTCCCACACAGTCAGTTCCAGGCACATGTGTTGGAGATCTTCCAGCCTCACACCATTGTAGACAAATGTATGGTTGTAGTGGGGATTCAGGGTCTTCTTCATCACAGGAGTTTTACGCTTACTGGCCTTGTTCCTCATGGGAAGGAGGTATCTGGCAGAGGGTGCGAAGGAATCAACAACCTATTCAAAGCTGGCAATATCTATCTAAATTCCCCTTTCCCCTCCCACAGGCCTAGCCCAGGAAGTTGAGTCAACACTCAGATCCGAGGACACACTCTCCCTCCTTTGAATCTGCTGAAGCATAGTTCCTACCACCGCCACTAGATCATTCACCCAATTCAATTCCTTTTACCTGGAGAGAAAATTAATACAATATTATTAGGGAGCTACTGTCTACACGCCATCAAAAATGGGTTTTGAATATTTGGTTCCACTTCTATTGGGAAAAGTCCTGTTTAATAAAAACAACAGTAATAAGCATAGGCATAGCCAGACATGATTTGCTAGAGAACTTAAGTCAGTAGGTTGAGCTGTAACTTGGGGAAAGCTGCCATTGCTTAAATATTGTGGGGAACAAAGTCCTGAGTCCCCAGGTCTTGACAGTCAGGGAACACAGATTTTTATTCAGGATTAATTAAGAGCATAAATCTATAACAAAGGAAAAGTCAGACCTAACTGTCTACCACCCTCCTTTTTGGAAGTCAACACTACAGCCCAGCCCAAACTGAGCTCAGACCAGTGCCAACGTGGTATTGGAGGTTGTGCCATTACCTAATTTCAGGAACAAGTTGGTTGCTGGAGGTGGCAGGACACACAGGGATAATATCTACAGAGAAAGGTTAAATTGGGTTCCTCTCTTAACTCTTATGTCCTGAAACTGGTTAGTTTGGTGCTGGTCCAGGGACTCACCCCTTCACAAAGCTGTCTGAAGTCCCTCCTGATTTGGCAGCTGTCAGATTCTTGGCTTCTTTGATCCACACCTGGAGCTCTCCCCCTTCCCCACCTGTACCTGGAAGGGATGTCAGACATAGCAAGTGAGTTCCAACACCTCCACATTTCTCTCAAGCTTTATCTACATAGCACTTCCTCTCCTTGTTCCTGAAGACAGCAACTTCCATGATAAGTGGACCACACCTGTCTTGTATTCTCAGTACCTAGCACAGCGCCTAACAGCAAGAAATAGGTGCTCAAGTCATAACAATAGCGACAAAGGCTTATTGAAAACTGGCTATGTGCCTGATTCAACATTAAGCATTTATTCCTCAAAACAACCATATGAGATATATACTATCATTCTCCTCATTTTACAGATGAGAAAATTGAGGCATAGAGAAATAAAGTTGCCTGATGTTTGCTCAATGATTGAAAAAAGGGAACTCCACCACTTGTGTTCTGGATCCCATCTCCACGTCAACAAGACTCATCAGGCATCATCAATTTCAACCCCCACCTCCCATTTTTAATATCTCATTCTCTACTGGTCCCATCCTCTCAGTCTAAATATATGCTAATCTCACCTCTGGCTTTAAAAAATCCTTCTAAAAGTAAATTTCCCTTCAACCTTATCTCCTATTCAAGCTGTCCTCCCTGGCTCTCCTTTCTTTCACCATCAATTATCCTGGAAAAAAAGAGTCCACACTCACTGCCTCTACTTCTTTGCCTCATTCACTCAACCTAGTTTCTAGTGAAATCTGGCTTCTGCTTCCACTGATCCACTGAAAATGTAATCTAATGCCGATGAGCTGTGTCTTCTCATTGGGCCCGACATGACAGTGGTATTTCAATACTGTTGACAACACCCGCTCCCTTCTTCAAGCTCTATCCCGGCATTGCTCTCCCCTGATATAAGCCTCCACCTCACTGGCTTCTCTTCCCATCTTCATTCTTTAAAGTGTTCCCTCTGGTTCTGTCCTTGCCTCTCTTCTCTAGTTATCCTGTACACCCTCCTTGGGGATCTCACTGACTTCCCCAAATCCTATAGATTAGACTTTGCTGCAGGTAACTTTTTAAGAACTTGGCATCCCATTGCCAAAGTGTCAAGTTCAACTCCTTACCATTACATTCATGGCCCTTTTCAGCTAGACTGCAGCCTCATCAACAATTCCAGCCCTACTTCCACATATATATACCATAACTCCAGCCCCACTCAACTAAGAAGTTCACTGCCTCACACTTACATACAACCCCCCATTTACCATGCCTTTTTCAAACCTTTGCTCACGCTATCTCCTCTTCTGGAAATGCTCTTTTCACCCCATCCTCTTCCTTTTCTTCCTGGTAAAGTCTTAAGTCCAGTATCATCATTACTTCCTCTTTAAAACTCTCCCAAATATAACCAGACAGAATTCATCACTCCCTTATCTGTGTTCTTTTAGCAGATGACTGTATTACTTTCTAAAATAAACTGTGCAAGGGAGGGCAAATATCGTGTCTTATTCACCTACATATCCACAGTCACTATGCCTGGTGTGTTTATTTACTCTTCCTCAGCCTTCAACTTCCTGTCCCTTATACTTATACACCACCCTTTCCAACCACCCTCTGTCAGTCCTGAAGTTTCTGTTCTGTTCTAACCTCTTAGTAGCCTGTCAGAGCTGGACCAAGACCAAGTTAGTTTAATGGCATCAAAAACAAAACAAAACAACAACATAAAAACAAAAACAAAAAAAAGGGAATCCAACTCTTAAGGCATTCCCTTCTGGTTGAAAAACAGAAATGGCTTACTTAGTAAAGGAACCTTCCCTAGAAAATGATCCAGTGTGCATTGTAATCTGGTCTCTCCAATAGTGCTAGCCACTAGCCAGCACCACCTCACACAGATCCTGTGCAGAAAACTAAGAGCTAAATCCAGGGCCCCAAAGAAAACTCACTCTTCTTCCGGTCACGTCCAACAGGGAGTTTGGAGGCTGGGATGTATTTCAATGATACCACCAACTCGCCTTTGTGTGATGGCAAGCCAGTCGAGGACTCAGCACTGATCTGAAACACAGGGAAACCCAATAGGTCGAGCTGGGCTGTTCAGGAGTTGTTGAGACCTCTCGCTGAGGAGATTCTAAAATTACCCCCAAGAACAGTTTCACAGCATAAAAGGACCCTTCTCCTTATGAATACCATCCACGATCCCTAGGCCATGGCAGCCACAGGGTTCTAAGGCAGTTTCTTCCGAAGGAGCTGCAGAAGAACTAACAAAGAGTCTTCCGCAATGCCTACTATTTTGCTACTTTGGGGATACCATTACTAGATTCCAAATACCCTCAAAGGTCTGCCAGCAAAGTTGCCATACAAACTGACAGGGGACTGACACCATGACAAAGAATCTTGCTACCAACATTGTTAGTGATAGCCCCAAAGTGGAAACAACCTAAATGTCAATCAATACAGGAAAGGTTAAATGAGTGATTTTAATGCCATTGTATGGCATATGGTGTGCAATCATCAAAAAGGATGCAGTGAATCTCTACACACTGACATATAGAAAGATATCCAAGATGTACTGTTAAGTCAACAGGGCAAGATGCAGAAAAAGCATCCCACTTATATTAAAATATATTCATATTTGTATATGTAAATATATATTATGTAAATAATGATTATTATCATTATCACTCATATAGTACTTACTATGTGCCAGGTACTGTTATAGTATTTTAATTATACCATTTTGTTTAATCCTCAAGATAGTCCCTATGACATGAGTACAATTATCCCCATTTTACAGATTATGAAACAGAGGAACAGAGAAGTTAAGTAACTTGCCCAAGGTCACCCAGTAATTGGCAGAGCCAGGATTCAAATTCAGACAGACTGGTTCCAGAATCCATGGTTTTAAGCACTATACTACACTGCATAGAAAAACCCAGAAGCATACAGACATAACACCTGTATCTTCTAAGGAGGGGAGTAGAATGGGGAAAGGAAAGAGGGCTTTCACTTTTTACTCTGTCTATATCTATAGTGTCTTTTTAATGAGAATGGCATGTATCACTTGTATGATTTTCAAAGATAAAAAGTCTTTTTTAAAAGAGAGCTTGCAAAGATTTGAGGGCTAGGTGAAACTCTGTTACAAGGATTTGAATATGCCACAATTTTTAATTTTACATTTGTTTAGGTTACTTTTGATTAATGACTGCCTCTACCACTAGAATCTAAATGCCAGGAGGACAGGAATCAAGCCTTTTTGTTGTTGTTCATCCTAGTATGCCCAACACTTAGCAATGTACCTGGCACATAGTAGATGCTCCACAAATATTTCCTGAATGAATGCAAAAGTGAATGAGTGGATATCTGGGATGAGCAGCAAGTGGTCGTGGGCAGCAGGACTGCTTCACTCTACTGGCTCTCTCAGCATGGCTCTGTTCCTTATGCCTTGGTACCCAGAGCATGAGCTGGTGCAGATCAGAGGTGCTCTTTCACTGCCCGTGTTCACTGGGGCTCCTCTAACCTAAGGCCTCAACTCTGAGCATGGCAATGCAAGGAAGGTATAATCCCCACTGGTTTGGAAAAATGTACCACATACCCAGAATGCACAGAAGTGTAGTGTGTGGGAGAGACACAGAAGAGCAGGGAGGTGGATGCCAGGAAGAGAAAACTGAATGGGAGCAAACAGATCACTAGGGCAAAAAAAGAAAAATCAGAGACAATAAATGTAGAATGTTTTCAGTTAAAATAGATATGTAATACTGGAGTGGTCTTTTTGTTGTTTATAAAATGTCTACACAATTTATTTGTCTCTAGATTGTGAACTTTAGTGGACTCTTAAAAATTGGAGTTTAGCCTTAGCTGGAAATTGGCATAATTGGCGTATTTGTTTCAGTAGCATATTTTCATTCTGGCTCAAAATAATTGCAAAGAGCAAACAGCTCCATTTTAGTGCAGGTTTTTCTTTTTATGTAAGACATTTTTTATTGGCGGTAGTTCATGATGGCTTACAGTGACATTTCCAATATAATTATATCAACTGTAGGCCCCAGAGAGAATATCTTACATGCCAAATGCTTCAGAAATTCTAAATTTCTAATAATATGCTATAGTTTGGTGATAACTGCTTTCCTAGGGACATTTTTAATATTGTTACTATTTTTTGGAGGGCAGTAGCTATCAAAATACTGGATGTACATTTCCTTTGACTCAGCAATTTCACCACCAGAAATTTCTCCTACAGTTACACTCACAAAAGAGGACCAAGATATATTATAGCATAGTTTTAATAGCAAAAAAAGAGGCAAACAATTTAAATACCCATTGGTGGGGGGATTGTAAATAAATTATAATATAGGTACATGAAGAATACTATCCAGCAGTTAAAATGAGATAAATCTGTAAGTGATGGCACAGAAAAATGTCCATGGTAAATGACAAATTGTTAAATGAAAAATCAAGATATATATACACAATGATAAGAGCCCATTTGTGTAAAAAGAAAAATGTAAATCCATATGTATATATATCTGTGCTGCTTAATACAAAATTTCTATAAAGATATCCAAGTAGTTGATAACAGTAGTATTTCTAGGGAATGGAAATAACCTACTTTTCTTTTTATACACTTCCATGTTGTTTTAATTTTGAATCGTGCACATAAATCCTTTTATTCTTAATGTTCTTGATAAGCAATATATGTAGACCTGATAAATAGTTCAAACGTTATAAAAGGGCATATAGAGAAAACTAAACCTTCCCACCTCTGTCTCTCTTCCTAGAGGCAGCCACTACTACTAGTTTCATGTCCATCTTTCCAAAGGCAGTCTATGTAACATGTACTATTTTTAGCATTGAAAATGCTAGGGTAAAAAAAAGTCTTACAGAAGAACCTTGCCATTGAACAGTTCTAATAATCAAGAAGTCCTAACTCTGTTTTAGCATTTCATCTTAACCAGAGTGACAGTAACCTATTGAATGTCTTTTATGTGCCAGGCACTGATTGGTATTCTGTATATGATCCTGCAGAAGAAGAATATTATTATCATTTCCACTTTATAGGTGAAGGAACTAAGGCCCACAGAAGTTAGGTGACTTACCTAAGTTATCTTTTTCTTTTATTTCTTAAATATTTATTTATTTATTTATTTATTTAGGCTGCACTGGGTCTTAGTTGTGGCACTCGGGATCTTCACTGTGGCATGTGGGATCTTTTAGTTGTGACATGCAGGCTCATAGTTGCGGCATGCAGACTCTTAGTTGCAGCAGGTAACCTCTTAGTTGCGGCATGCATGTGGGATCTAGTTCCCCGACCAGGATCGAACCCAGGCCCCATGAATTGGGAGCGTGGAGTCTTCCACCAAGGAAGTCCTGTAAGTTACCTTTAATTTAGGTGATTTACCTAGCTGGTAAATCACAGGGCCTGGATTCAAATCCAGGTCTGCACTCAGATCCCAGGTACTATTATGCACACTGCCACCCTCTCACCCGAGATGCCATCTCCAAAGTAAAACTGTCCCTGGCTTGTGTGACCAAGAGCACAGCAATTGGAACTCCGTGAATTGCTTTATTTCCCACTTCTTTAGTGAAAAGGGTAGTTTGGAAAACCAGTGCAGATTAGGATACACCCAAAAAGTTAGCTTGGAGAAGAGGCACAAGTTAGGATGTTAGGATACGCCCAGACTCTGGAAGATCAGGAGGCAAAGCTTGGCACACATATGAAAGACTTCAAAAGAAAACCATGGCACCTGAAATTACTGTTAAACTCAGTAACCCCAGCAGGGTGCGCTAGAACTCCACAGACTGCATTCAAAACTGTCCCAGCAGAAGTCACTGCAGGCAATTCTACCTCAGATGCAAACTCTGTAAGGAGTTGTTAAAGCAGACTACCTTTCCATGTAAAGGTAGGCAATGATCCAGTTTCTTATCAAGCTTCCAGGAATCCATCTGGACCTCTGCCTCTCCAAGGAAAGTGTTTCTGCCAAAACGACCATGATGCCAAACCGAGAACTGCAAAGTCCTCTGGGCCAGGAGAGATTCTGGGATCTCATACTGTGAAAGGAAAGGAGAAGCCCAAGATGATTAGTTCACGGTAATTCCTCAGAAAAAGATTACTCCAAAATCTGAGCAACCATACTCAAAATCCATAGTCTTGAATATCAAATCACTTTAGTCCCTAAGCACTTTGAGTTTCCTCCCTCAAAGCCTCCACTTACCCCGTTTCACAAAAACCTACCATGTTCCATCAGAGGACCTGGAATATGAATTTTTCCTTCAGTGGGGGAGAGAACACTGGAATATTCAAAAACAACTGCCAGGGAGACTCCTGATCGCAAATGACTCTTTAAAATGAGATTTGTGGCCACGTGGACCTCCAACTTCACAATAATCCAAGAAAGTCAGATCAGCTTTGTTCTCTTCTCTGGGAGGTCAGGACATGAACAGATGCCCATAGTATATCCTCAAACACAGACATGGCCACTGAAAACCATGTTGACCACCCACGTAGCAGAGGAATAGCTACAGCTTAGCACACGAGACAGAACAAATTCTCATACCCTCTCGGACTCTAGATACTTACTTTGAGGATCTCATCATATAGCGGATTAATGGTGTCCCGCTTGATGCTGGTTTTTCTTTTTCCTTGGCGGGATTTGTCAGGCAGAAGATAAGTCTTCACATATCTAAAAACCAAGGAGAATACTGAGTAATTTGCTGTCTTTTTGGAAGCCCATTCCTTATTTTCTTCCTCTCCATATACATATGCCATGATGAAATGAAAATGTCACATTGAGCCCTCTTAGACCTGCCATTCTTGCATTTTCCCAATCCTGGTCCTTTTCCCACATCTCCCCTAACCACTCTCAATCACACCTCCCTGTCTGCCCAGGAAGTGAGAGCCTCGGTTCAAGGGTGCCCAGAGAGATGCTGGGGTCTGATCACCTCCAAGCACCACACAGGGTCCAGAAGCACTCACGGGTTCGAGCGCTTCTTGGCTTCGTCAGCATAGGCCAGATGGTGGCACTCCTTCACGTGAATGACCAGAGCCTGTGTTTGCTGCTCATACTTCAGGGAAAAGGAGATCTTGCCAGTCACAAAGATGTTCCCGAAATCGCCAGCTTCGCTATAAATGCTCATCATGCTGCCAATCGTACTCTGAAGATAAAGCACCCACATGGCAGATGGTAACTAGACTTACCATGGTGATCGTTTTGAAATTTACAGAAATATCGAATCATTATGTTGTGTAACAGGAACTAACATAGTGTTGTAGGTCAATTGTACTTCAAACACAAAACAAACAAACAAAACTCAGAAAAAGAGATCAGATTTGTGGTTATAAGAGGCAAGGGGTCAGGGGAGAAGGAATTGCATGAAAGTGGTCAAAAGGTATGAACTTCCAGTTATAGGATAAATAAGTACTAGGGATATAATGTGTAACATGATAAATATAATTATCACTGCTGTGTGTTATATATGAAAGTTGTTAAGAGAGTAAATGCTAAGAGTCCTCATCACAAGGAACAAATTTTTTTCTATTTCTTTAATTTTGTATCTATATAAGATGATGGATGTTCACTAAACTTATTGCAGTAACCTTTTCATGATATATGTACGTCAAATCATTATGCTGTATACCTTAAACTTATACAGTGCTTTATGTCAGTTATATCTCAATAAAACTGGAAGAAAAAAACAAACAGGGACTTCCCTGGTGGTCCAGTGGTTAAGACTCTGTGCTTTCAATGCAGAGGGCATGGGTTCAATCCCTGGTGGGGATAATAAACTGTGCAAGGGAGGGCAAATAAGAACTAAGATCCTATATGCCGTGTGGCGTGGCAAAAAACAAAACAAAACAAAAAACCAACCAAACAAAAAAAGATAAAGCACCCACAAACATCTGGCAAAGGCACACTCCCTCTGCCACATTGCTAACATTTTCCCTCATGAGAAAGCCATAGTCACTGAAGAAAACAAAAGCCCCCTGCAACCAACCAGCCAGTACTGCCAGTCGTCTTGTACCCAGAGTATAAGAGACAGCTAAGAGCACATGCACAACTGCTCAGGTTCATCAATCAGCTCATGGCTCACCTAGGCTCCAAGCTGCTCTTCTCCCCTCTTTTTACACATTTTATTGTTAATTTTCAACTGCCCCAAAAGGTGGGCAAGGAGTAGAGGTAAGACGCAGCTCAGTCCAATTTTGGTGTATGTTATATATGCTACAATGCTGGCTAGAAGGGGTCAGTTACTAATTAAAACAAGGGGCCTTAATTATCTGTGCGTTTCTTCTATCCACCTTATGTCTCTCAAGACCTACAGAGAAAAGTGATTGCATCAGAATTGGGAGGAAAATCCCAACAGAGGTGAAAAGATACCTTCCTCTCAGGTAATAATTGACTCTGCAAGCCCACTGTTCTCTTCTTATGTGTGAGTGGGACCATCTAATCACCCTGCTTTCTGATTCTGTTTCCCCTAAACATCAATCTTCACACTTATGAAAGAATTAGGCCCTGATTCTTAAATGTCCCTTTAACTTCATGATTCTGATTGATGCTGTTGTTCCTTAATCATATCCTGATGCCAATTAACCCTGCCAAGGCCCTTCTCATGGCACTCACTGCCCTTGAATGTGAAACTTGGTACATGCTCTGATGAAGAAACCTGATCTTGCTCACTTCATGGCCTGGGTACCTTTTGTGTGTGTGTGTGTGCGGTATGTGGGCCTCTCACTGTTGTGGCCTCTCCCGTTGCGGAGCACAGGCCCTGGACACGCAGGCCCAGCGGCCATGGCTCACGGGCCCAGCCACTCCACGGCATGTGGGATCCTCCCGGACCAGGGCACGAACCCGTGTCCCCTGCATCGGCAGGTGGACTCTCAACCACTGCGCCACCAGGGAAGCCCCTGGGTACCTTTTTAAGGGAGAAGTTATGGGTTACTGTTCACAAGGCTATGATGAACATCTCTAGCTCTAACTACCTGATGTAAGAATCTCCAGGGCAGAGGCTGAGAAAGCCACCTAACTGTGCACTAAGCAACTATGGTCTAAACTGAGGAAAGGAACAAACAAATGCATCTCACTTACCTAGAAAGAGTGACTAGGAGAATTTCCCCAGGTCCTGATCCTGCTCTAGGGAGGCACTTCCATCCTTCCTGGTATCCCAACATGTCCATAGCCACAGAACTAATAGAACTTACCATGGAAGAGCCACTTCGCATGCTGCTTCTGGCTAGCTTCTGACGATGCAACTTCACCAGGTGGTCAATGTCTTCTTCTTCTTCCTCTTCCTCTTCCTTGAAAAATAAATATAGATTCAGAGTTAATAAAAATAAGAAAAAGTTCAAAGATGAATATCCTTCCTTTAGTAGGGGCCATAATTTTTGATAAGCTCTGAGGTGTCATATGCACACGTACATACTTACCTTTATGTTTCCCCATTTCAGGCTTCCAAACTATATTCCAACTACCCTTCTCAAATCACAAAATAATAAGATAAGAATATCTCTTTCTCATTTGACTGCCCCAACCCAGCCATCTCTTTACATTATATTCAACATAAGTATTTATTTGAGCCCCCAACCATATATCAAGCAATGTTTAGAAAATAAAAGAGACAGTGAAAGACAGTCTTTTTCTTCAAGCAATTCAGCAACTAGATTTACTTTAGAAATTGAGGGGGATACTGAAAAAAAAAAGAAATTGAGGGGGAAATCAAGATTCATGTTACCTTTTCCTAAAGAAACAGGTGAATTGAGAGTATCAGGCAGTAAAGTCAACTTTAGATATATAAAATTTCATATAGTGACCAAGTGAAATGCAAGGGTACTTACCATATCCACACTGAGACCTGGGACAGATTTGCTTCTGTCTCCCAAGGAGCCACTTTCATGCCCCACATCTTCCGGTCGAAGATCAATCACAGATTTAGTGTACTCTGAGTGGAAGGCCGAAAAACCAAATCAAAAGAAACCTACTCTTCTCCGTACGAATAACCCACCAAGTGCTCAGAACTTCAATCTCAAAAGGCCATGAAGGGAAACCAGCTACCTGAAGGCCTGAGAATTTTTCTGGTGTTCTTCTTGAATATCATTTCACCCTCGTCCACAGATACCACATTTTGACCCCCAGGCTGAGCTTCCTAGGAGGAGGTAAGGGCAAGGAAATGGAAAAAGACAGTTGAGTAGGTGGAAGAGTGGAGTAAGGAAGAAGGCCCAGATTTTCACTAAACTATGACAAACTTAAAGGAAAGATTACTCTTAGGACTTAATCCTAGGAGAGTGTACAAAACCTATTTTCTCGCATGTTTCAACCAAAACTTTAGAAAATGCTCCCAAGGGAATCTGAACTAAAATTTGTTTGAACTCTTGATTTAAATTCTTCCTGAGGAAGGTAAAAGAAAGAGAGAGAGACATACACAAAGACAGACAAAAGAGAGACAGAGATCGACCAACCAATAAATAAAGCTTACCTTTTCTACTTGAGATTTGGGGGCAGACATCTTCTTCCATTCTGGAAAGAGGCCAGATTTATCCAGAGAGTCTCTCCTGTAGGCAGATACAGAAGCTATAATAAAATCACCTTCTCCCCTTCCCCTTCTGTCTAGGGACCCAAGCTCTATGGAAAGAGAGCCACTGGCTTGAGGCCATTGCAGTAACCAAATCCAGAAGGTAAGCTTCACATCTAATTTACTTTGAAGGAATGCAGATGATTAGATAAGCAACGCTGTACAAACACAAACACTCAAACCCCCATGCCTAAGGGATAGCAGCATCCGTTGCTGCTGGTCCAGGAAGACTCCTCCAAGGTGCAGCAGCCTGTGGAAGTTAGCATGTTCCAGAAGGCTGTGCTCAGAGCCAACAGTAAAAGTGCTACTGGAAGACTTGTGGCAACGTCAGAGAAAATACTTCATTCGCCTTGCTGAGGACAGAAGTCAGGAACACTGAAGGCAGCGGATTCCCGTACCCTGGCGCTAGAGAACAAAATGGGAGCTCAGCTGAGCAAAGCAGCAGGGACTGGGGGCATCTCACCTGGACGTGCTATCCGAGCCAGCCATGTAGCTATCCACACTCTCACTCTCCGCCTCCAGGGCGCTCTTTCCACTTTTCAGCTTGGGGACTTCAAATGGCACACTAGAATAAAAACCAAGAGCCAACACATAAAGGAAGTGGGCTCTCTTGCCGGGAGGCAGGCTTCCTTCCAACCTTTCACAATGGTAGCCTAAGTGATCTTTCTAAGAGCTGAGTATGCTTTTAAAACTGCTCAGTGGTTCCCCATTGCTCTTGGGATTGAGTTCAAACTCCTTAGCATGGCAAGAAAATCCTTATGAGTTGACCCCTGCTCACGTCTGCAGACTCATCTTTCACCCTCCACCTCTCCTTATACTTTACATTCCAGAATGATGAAGCTCTTTTGGTTCCCTGAATGTTCCAAAGCTCTTCTTCTTCCCTCTTTTCTCTGCCTGGGATGGCCACAATGACCATTTTTCTTGTTTACTTGAAACTTCTGGCTAAATCTATTGCTTCTTCTGGTCTCTCCTTATATGTCAGTTCCTGGAGATCTCTCTGACCATGCCCCCACCCCAAGTCTGGATTAGTAACCTTCCTATATGCTCCTAAAGCACCCTGATGCCTTGGTAGCAGTCATCATAAGTGTAACTTTTTATGTCTTTTATATAAATTACTTAAGTTGTTCAATAATTTAAACAAATGATTTGTTTAATGTCTTTCCCCTCCATTAGAGTAAGTTCCAGGAGGTCAGTGACCACATATTTTGTTCACTGCTGCGTTCCCAATGCCTAGAAGAAAGACTAGCATAGAGTGGGCACTCAATTATTTTCTGACTGAATTTTTGACTAAATGCCCTCAGTGGGGCATAAAGTATATACATAAATAAGCAATATGCTTTGAAGATATTATTCAGAAGACCAGAATTCCTTTTCAGCTTAATGAAGGATGACCCTGGGCATTCAAAACAGCAGTCCTCATCTCTAAAGGGAAGGACACAATTCCTGGACCCCTTACCTCAAGGAATTTGTGAGAACAAGAAAAGGAAAAAGAAATCATTCTTCCTGAAGTGTCTCAAGTAATTTCACTTGGCCTCCAGGATCCCACACTCTCCTGGTCCTCTGACCTCACTGGCTGCTCCTTCTCAATCTCCTTTGCTGGTCTCTCCTCACCTCCTAGACCTCTAATCTTTGGGTTGTGCCCACACTTATTCCTTGGGCTGCTTCTCTTCACTATCTAGAATTATCCCTAAATGATCTCATCTAGTCTCATGGCTTTAAATATGCTCTATAAACTAACAATCCCCAAATTTCTCTCTTACTCAAACGCCCGACTTCTATTTCCAACATCCTACTTGACATCTCTGCTGGGATGTCTCAAACACAGCAAGTCCAAAACCAAAGCCCTAATCCTCCCCCAAACCTGCTATTCCCTCAATTTCATCAAATGGCAACTCTGTCCTTTCATTTCTCAGGTCAAAAATCTTAAGAATCACCCTTGACTCTGCTTGTTCTCTCAAAATACATATCCAATGCGTTAGTAAATCCTCTTGGCTCTGTCTTCAAAGTATATCTAGAATATGACCAGTTCTCTCCCCCTCCACTGCCATTACTCTGGTCTAAACCACCATCACCTAGCTCCTGGATGGTTGCAGTAGCCTCTTAACTGAACTCCCTACTTCTGCCCTTGTCCTCATACAATCTATCCTCAACACAGCAGCCAAAATGAGTTTTTAAAATATAAATCCAGGGAATTCCCTGGTGGTTCAGTGGTTAGGACTCTGTGCTTCCACTGCTGGGGGCTTGGGTTCAATCCCTGGTCAGGGAACTAAGATCCTGCAAGCCTTGCAATGCAGCCAAACATCAATCAATCATATATATATATATATCACAAAACTAACACACATATATATATATATATATATATATATATATATATATATATATATATATATATATATATCTCCCCAATACAGAACTGAAAACACGTGTCCACACAAAAACTTGTACACAAATGTTCATAGCAGCATTATTCACAATAGCTAACAGGTGGAAACAGTCCAAATGTTAATCAACAGATGAACAGATAAAGGAAATGTGGTACAGCCATATAATGAAATATTATTGACAATAAAAAGGAATGAAGTTCTGACACATGCTACAATATGGATGAACCTTGAAAATATTATGCTAAGTGAAATGCCAAACACAAATGGCCATATTCTGTATGATTCCATTTGCAGGAAATGTCCAGAATAGGTAAATCCATAGAGACAGAAAGCAGATTAGGGGCTGAGGGAAATGGAGAGTGACTGCTTAATGGGCACAGGGTTTCTTTTTGGAGTGATGAAAATGTTCTGAAATTAGACAGTGGTGATGGTTGCACAACATTCTGAAAGTACTAAAAGCTACTCAACTGTATACTTTAACACTGTTAAAATGATTAATCTCATGTTATGTAAATTTTACCCCAATTTAAAAAGAGAAAAAATAATATCCTGTCACTCAGAGCCCTCCTTCTCACTCGGAGTAAAAGACAGAGTCCTTACAAGTGCCAACAATATCTTACATGATCTGCTTCTCACCTCACCTCTGTCTTTATCCCCTACCCTCCCCACTTGCTCACCAGTTCCAGATGACTCACACGTGCCAAACACAAACTCACCTTAGGGTCTTTATACATGCTGCTTTCTCTGCCTAGAAAGTATCTCTTTCCCCCAGATCCTCTAAGGGTTTGTGGCTCTTTGCTTCCTGTCTTCTCTCAAATGTCATCTTATTATTAAGACTTTTCCCCTGCTGGCCTAGATAAAACAGCTTATATACACATATGCCTTCCTGGCACTCCCTCCCTTTAATCTACTTCATTTTTCTCCATAGCGCTTGTCAACATCTGATATACAATATATTTACTTGATTATTCCCTTACTGTCTGTGCCCCCCACTCCCAAATCTAAGCTCCTCAAGCAAGGGACTTTGTTGTCTTCACCAGTGTATCCCACTGCCTAAAACAGTGCCTGGAAAATAGTAGGCATTCATAGACATTTATCAAATAAATGAAGGAACTAATAACAAATGAGCAAAGAATGAAGTAACCAAAATGTATAACGTCTTAGGCAGTAGAGACTAAACTTTTCAAGTTAACATAACATGATGTTTGAGATAGCTTTATGAAAACAGACAGCTGGGGTGGAAATCCTAAGGCATGCCAGAGGTGAAACAGTGGTCATTTCTTGAGAGATGCATTAGCTTTATAGGTGAAGACACAGCAGGGAGTTTGATTTCATTTTTACTTTAGAACCATTCTTTTTCCCCATTTGCTGCAAAGAATAAAGAACCTAAAGCAGAACCATTCCTCTAGAGAGGTAGTTTAATAATGGACCATGGAGAGTGTTTCTGCTTGTATGTTTTCCTAAAGATTAATACGTACTGATCCAAAGCTGATACAAACCACCGTAGGGCAAAAAAGCAATTATTTGACATCTGTGCAGTAGAAAAATAGACTAAGGGACAGGAGTCCTGGGCTCTAACTATCTGTATGATCTCAGGTAAATCACTTGTCCTGCTTTCTTTTCTGTAAAAATAAGGGGGTTGAATTAGATTATCTCTGAGGCTCCATAATTTTATGGAAAAGATCATTTATGGCCACCTAATCTGTTTCCATGTTTAGGATAAATAAGAGTCTTCTGAGCCCAATGAGACAAGAGGTCATAGACAGCCAGAAGCAAGGGGCTTCAGAAATTACATTCTGACCAATGATGCCAGATGTATTAATCAGGTTCAGGAAATAAAAGCCATCCTTATCGGCAAAGGAAAAAGGGGGGCCTCATTACCTAAAACAGATGAGTCACCCACCCAAGGCTGTGTGGATAAAATCACAGTACATACATACAATGAAACACCATACAGAGAGCAAAAAGAATGAGGCAGACCCTTGGTGCTGACATGGAAAGATGTCAATGTTATATTTTTCTGTCATTTTTTCCCATTTGCACCTTGGGTTATAACTGACATAAATAAACTGCACATGTTTAAGTGTGCAGTTTGATGAGTTTTGACATATGCATACACTGGTGAAACCATCACCACAATTAAGCTATCGAACATATCTATCACTCCCCAAAGTTCGCTTGTGCCCCTTCATAATCCATCTCTCCTTCCTCATCCCAGCTCCAAGTAAGTGCTGATCTGCTGTCACTGTAATTTAGCTTGCTTTTTCTAGAATTTTACATAAACAGAATCATACAGTATGTCCTCTTTTTTGTTTGGCTTCTTTCACTCAGCGTGATTATTTTGAGATTCATCCATGTTGTTGCATGTATCAGTGGTCCTTTCCACTGCTGAGTAGTATTCCACTGTATAAACAAAGCACAGTTTATCCCTTCACCTGTTGATAGACACTGGGGTTGTCTCTAGGTTTCGGTGATCACAAATAAAGCCACTATGAACATTCATGTACAAGTCCTTGTATGAACATATTCTTTTATTTTTTTTCTAATACATTTTTAACACCTTTATTGGAGTATAATTGCTTTACAATGGTGTGTTAGTTTCTGCTTTATAAAAAAGTGAATGAGCTATACATATACATATATCCCTCTTGTGTCTCCCTCCAACCCTCCCTATCCCACTCCTGTAGGTGGTCACAAAGCACCGAGCTGCCCTCCCTATGCTATGTGGCTGCTTCCCAATAGCTATCAGTTTTACATTTGGTAGTGTATATATGTCCATGCCACTCTCTCACTTTGTCCCAGCTTACCCTTCCCCCTCCCCGTGTCCTCAAGTCCATTCTCTACATCTGTGTCTTTATTCCTGTCCTGCCCCTAGGTTCTTCAAAACCTTTTTTTTTTAGATTCCATATATATGTGTTAGCATACGGTATTTGTTTTTCTCTTTCTGACTTACTTCACTCTGTATGACAGTCTCTAGGTCCATCCACCTCACTACAAATAACAATTTCATTTTTTATGGCTGAGTAAATATTCCATTGTATATATGTGCCACATCTTCTTTATCTATTCATCTGTTGATGGACACTTAGGTTGCTTCCATGTCCTGGCTATTGTAAATAGAGCTGCAATGAACATTGTGGTACATGACTCTTTTTGAATTATGGTTTTCTCTGGGTAT